CTTGGAAAAACTAACTTGAAAAAGAAACTAAAGCTCACTACAAAAATAATTCCATCTTTCATTGATTCCAGTTTTTTCCCACCCACTGTCCATTTGGGACAGTTTCAGAAAGAGAGAAGGTGTGAAATCTAAAGCAGTTAATTTAGTGTCTTCATAAGATGTTCCAAGATAAAATGGAAACTTTTTGTTAAAATGCATATGCATTTTAAAATAATCTGTGTTTTGCATTTATTTTCTCTGACTCTATATTTCACATTACCAGTGATAATCAAGAGGATCGTGGTATTCATATTTAGCAAAGACATAACAGATCTGAAAAGTTCTCAGCATTTAATTAGTAACTGTGAAATCATAAAACTGCTTGATTTTTCTCCCATTAGAAATTTTGTTAACATGTGATGCAGTCACAAAATGCAAGGTGAGAAGACTTTTAATTTTTGTAAAGTTGGAGTGATTATTTTTTGATGGTTTAAGTTACTCTGGGGATTCTGAACTCTCTAGAGCATTAAAAATATCCAGAAAGAATCCACCATATCACATCATCAGTCATCACACAAAGCAATAGAGTTAGCATTTTAATCCAGGTACTCAGATTCATTTTGTCAAATCTCATTTGGTTAAAAGTAGCAGAAAAATGACTCACTGGATTTAAGCCAAAACTGAAAATGAATTGGCTAACTAAAATGTTCTGATAGAATCTTTTGGTATCAGACATAACTCGATGCAGGCAGGTGAACAATTCCAAGTGTTTTTCCTTTGTGTTAGCTTTGGTTTTCAAAGATACTTTCACCATGTGTGAGGAAATTGTTGACTGCATGATCAGTGATTCTTTCTATCTCAGCAAACCACAATGGAAAGAGCCTCTCTTCCAAAGCTCTTCCAAAACAGCCCCTTAGTTGAGTCTGATTGTCTCTGTTTGCTTTGATCTCCATGTTTGGCCAATCATGGTGGTGAGAGTCTTCAGCCTTCTAAGGGCAAAGCCTGAATCATGTGCTCTCTCCTGAACTGGAGGTTTAATCAGCCGCACCCAAATCAAATGGGCTAAAGGTAAGGGAATGAGATTTTCTAAGAAAAATAAAAATGCATACAGAAAATACATATCCAGTGCAGACTTAGAACTCAGAACTCTGGTTCTTATGTTCTTTTTCAAATTCAAAAGATCTTACATTAGAACCTAGTACCCAGAATCCTATACCCTTCTCCATAATTGAATGGTTATGGAAGAAAATTTATCAATCCAAGTGCAGTCTGAGTAAGAAAGTAGAAAATTTTATAGCAATTTTTTTTTTTTTTTTTTTTAAGTAACAAACTCATGTGCCTCTGCCAGCCTCTTGTTCTTGTCTCTTGCATTTCTTGTCTTCTGCTTTTATTCTGGTGTAATTTCATCCCTACAGGGGATTAAGTTCCTAAGATTTGCTCCACAATTCATGAGTTTTCACAAGGATTTTACTCATTCTGTAGTCTTATATGCCACTAATATTCAATCCCAAAGAGTTCTGTTTCTATATGTATCTAATGGCTATATAGAAATGGCATTACTCAGAAGTATTCGAGTTACCTACATTGCATATTGTAACTAGTCTCACACAATTAGTTTATTGAGGATTTTGATTGAGTTTCCCCAAAACATTTCTTTCTCTAAACTTTCTCTAAAATTTTTAGAGAAAGAGCTTTCACAAAAGTTCTTAGGAAGAACCCAGAGGAAAATGGGGAAGTGCAATATGGAAAGGAAGGAAGTCAAGCTGTGTCAAAGGCATCAAGCAAAATTCTACAGAAGGTAAATTTGGCTCAGTCCTTGTAAGGGATCTAGGGTTGTCCCAGTCACAGGGGAATTGAAGCATCTGTATGCCAGAACCTAGTCAGTCATTGATTGAGAACTGTCCCCTGAGGGCATGCAAATTCCCAGGTGCTTGAAATTCTCTGTGAAGGTAAAATTGGCCACAGCAGTTAGAGAACAGTTCACCAACAAAGAAGTGCAGCTTGTCCATATTAGTTGTCATTGAGTGTATTCCAACTCATGGCTATTCCCTGTATTACCAGTTGCTTCCATTGCCAGTTGGTAGTGGTGCTGTAGGGCAGAGTAGAACTGTCCCATAGGGGTTTCCAAGGCTGTAAGTCTTTACAGAAGCCAACTGCCACATCTTTCTCCTGAAGAGCAGCCGGTGGGTTGGAATCACTGACCTTTCGGTTAGCAGCTGAACACTTTAACTACTGAGCCACCTGACTGCCACCTCATGTGTACTGACTGTTAAAAGCATACTGAGATCTCTGGTGCACACAGGATCATGGAGGAGATGGGTGGAGCACTGGCTTGATCAGGTACATTACTCTTATTGGAAAAGCATATCCCTATAGGATAGCTTTTTCACTCATCAAAAGGAAAAATACAAGTCCACTGAGATGTCACTATTATCTTGAAGTGCTTTTTCTTTTGGGAAGTGGACATAGCTAAGATTTGTTGATTTACCACCATTTAATTGGACTACAGAGTGGAGATTCACTTTGGTAAAACCACAAATACCAAGTCTTAGAGTATCTGTGAGGCTATATTGCCTTATCATTAAGCACATAGCTTCTGAGGCGAAGAAACCTGCATATAAATCTCAACTACGCCACTTGTAGCTATGTGAAATGTAAATTAAATTATGTATACATTATATGCACATATAATATCTAGTACATAGTTTGTGCTCAATAAATGGCAGGCCTTTGTTCTGCTACTGTTTTAGTTATTATCATTAATACAAAAAGTGTTCAATCATCTGGTGCAGACACGTAGATAGTAGTTATATATAAAGAACAATTAACAAGTGTTTGCACAATCAAAATAAAGAATTAGGATGTAACAATGGGGAAAATAGTCGATCTCTACCATCAAAGAATGCTGAATTCAGACAAGTAGCAGAACTTCTATTTGTTTTCCTCTTTTTAAATAAATGTTTTTAAAACTATTTTTATTACTGAGGCAATATATGCTTATTGTAAGAAAAAAATTGGGAAATAGCAGAGAGAAAAAAAATAAATATAATTCATGTGTCAACTACCCATAGGTAATCACTAATAATATGTTGGTATATATACATTTCCTGACATTTTTATGCAATACATACATTATTAAGAATTGAATTATATTGCATATACTCTAAATTCCCTGGAATTTGTGCACATCTTTCTATGTGAATAAATTTTCATTCTGAACTTAATTTTTAATTATGTTGGTATTCCATCAGATGACTGTATAAGAAAACATAGCTATCTGAGGTTAATTGTCACAGCAATATGCTATTTTGCTAAAATGGCAAACTAAATTTGTGGTACATGGCAAGTTTTTTAAAGGGACAACACTAAATTTATGAAATAAGCATGCATTTTGTTTTTAACAACATTCTAATTATGACTGTAACTATGTGGTAATTTTGAGAAAAACAGATGAATCAAGCAATGATTTTGGTGGTCTATGTTTGGAAAAATTAAGGAGCTCTGGTGGGTTAGTGTGTAAAGCATTTGGCTGGTAACTAGAAAGTTAGTGCTTCAAACCCATCAGCTGCCCCATGAGAGGAAGATGATGCAATCTACTTCTGTAAAAATTTACAACCTTGGGAACCTAACGAGAGTCACTATGAGTCGGAATCAACTTGAAGGTAGTGGGTTATATGCATAAGCTCATGATATGATTTTGTGTATTTTATTTTTTATTATGCATAGGAGGATCATATTTTTGCCAAAAAAAAAAAATTCCTAAGGTTTCATCAGAGTTTCTGTTTTGTTTTTTGCTTCATTTGAAGCCTCTAGTGAATAATCACCAGAAACTTTTTTTCAGTAGTTGTTTACTGCTCAAATTTTACAGAATCTTATTTAGCAACCACTCTATATATGACTGGACAGTTCGCCCACATTACTTGTGTTGACTTGAAGAAATCTTCCCTCTATTTCAAGGTTTGGAATTTGGCTTTGCAAATTGATTGCTGTTATCATTATTTGTTTGAAATTCATTTAAAATACAAACTTTAAAACATCAGACAATCTTTAAGGGAATTAAAAATGACTTAGTAGGAAAGGAGAGATGCTGATTAAGTAAAACTGGTGATTAATTTTATAAATGGTCAGATTATTAGTGAATATCTTCCTGCTTTAGCTTTATTTGTTCCTTGCACTTCCTTATAGTGAGGACATTTGTACCATGGATTTCTAATTTCATCCCTTATTCTTAGACATTTAGATTCATACAGTACAAAATTAATTTTAGAATTTTAAAAGATACTGTGGATATCCTTATTTCATTATATTAGATTTCTAAAAATAAAGAAACTATTCACAAACTCTTTCTATGAAAAGACAGGATACTCTGAATATCTATAATTTATCTTAACATATTTTATGTAAAGTATAAATAAGTACATTCTTTTGGGGATTGTAGAATTTATAGTTTCAATTCATGTGGATCTATCTTGATAATCAACTGACTCATTATGTATGTTCTCAGTGATCTGTTAGCATCAATATAGCTACAAAAGTTTCTACATTTTTGCCTTAGAATTTATAGTACATGTAGAACCTGCCTAGTCTCAAATGATTTGTCCTCAGAGACAGCCTCCTTGATTTTCATATTTAAATTGAAACAATCATGTTACTGTCTCTGCACCCTATTTCTTTTCTTCCTGTTATTGTGATTTGTAATTATATATTTATATAAAATATTGTTTATTATATGTTTCTCTAGTAGTCTGTAAGCTCCAAGAGGGCAGGGAATAAGTCTATTTTATTCAACAATACATACCTTGAAAAGAGCACCATGACTTGCACTTGGCAAGCCCTTAATAAAGTGGTACATTAGTGACTGGATGAGTGAATGGTGAATGATTGCATAATTTGAAAATTAGACATAATATAATAATAGATATATTTTATTCTTTGAAAATTATTTTTGAGAATGCTCTTATTTTACCCTGCTGTCATAAAGTCTAAGTCATCTTCTATTCTAACGAGGTGTAACTGTTTAGTCCAGTCCCTGATATTAGTTGGAGGAGGCTGGATGGAAACCTGTTGCCAGGGAAAGTCAAGTACAGCAAATCCAAAGCCATCCTTGAAATCCCGAACTTTCAACAGGAAGATGAAGGCGGCTATGAGTGCACTGCAGGCAACCTTCGAGGAAAAAACATTGCAAAGGGTCATCTCATTTTCTATGGTGAGCTAATAGAACTTCAAAAAAATATATGAAATATTCTTCAGAGTAAATATTGAAAGTCATTAGCACATTGTGGAAAAGTGTCAAGGGAGAAATAGGAAAGAGATATTTTTCAAGTCAAGATGCTTAATAAAATGATTAGCAGGTGGCAACAACCATCTTTAAAATATGGTTTTAATTTCAGCACAGTCTATGCATGCTATTGTTTATTATAATTGCTTTGAAAATATCAGCAGTGTCATGTTAAAGCCATAAAAGTTTATAACACAAGATACTGTAGAATCCAATATATTTCCCATAAAACATTCAGCAGCAGGCTATGGCAATATTAATTATAATTCTAAGTAGAATTTACAAATAAAGGAGAAAATGATGTAAAAGGGTAATACCGAATTGGTGGTTTGCAGTATTTGTTTCTGCTTCTGAAGTTTTTCTACCCTTATGTATGTAATAGAAAAATGTCATCACTTTATTATAAATATATTCTTGTCTCCATTATCAGAATATCTCAAGAACATAAGATAGATGAAGAGAACATTCATTACATAAGTATTACCTTTATGTCTTTTTTCATCCAGGCTAAATGCACACTTGAAATTTTCATTTATATATACCATGATAAGGAGCTCTGATGGTGTAGTGCCTAAGACATTTGACTGCTAACCAGAAGGTTGGTAGTTAGACCCACCATCCGCTCTGTGGAAGGAAGATGGAGCATTCTACTTCCTTAAAGATTTACTTCCTTGGAAACCCAGTGAGGGTTGCTAGGAGTTGGTATCAAATCTATGCCAGTGGGTTTTTTATATACCATGAGATATACTTGAGAATTATAAAAATATTTGGTGCTTTTAAAAACACCTCTAACTTCTTTGTTGAATGTTGAAGTAAATATATCTGCACTATGGAACATAACAACAACAACAACAATGGAACATTTTAAAAGAGTATTTATATATGGCCCAAAACACATTTATTTGTGACACTTTTTATGTGTCACTTGTTTATAATCAATGATAAAATGATTGGAGGAAAAAAAATGTACAAAAAAAAGTGTGAGGTGTTGTTCCTCATAAGAACCCTGAATGAGAGTCCTGTGGGGAGAATATATTGTGCTTTGATAATATTATTTTCCATTTCCTTTAGAATTTCCCATTTTAACCTGGGATGAAAGCTAGCATTTTATATCTAGAATATGATTTCCTACTGATATTCCCCTATGGTTTTAGGAATGTTAACAAATAAACAAAAATTCTTTTCAAAAGCTCCGTTTTTTTTTTTTTTCCTTTTTTTTTAAAGTCTTTAGAATCTAGCATTCTTTGCAAATAAAACAATAGGGACATAACTAGAAGTTTTTAGTGGCACCAAGATAATAAAAAATATGTCAAGGTTTTTTTTTTTTGGAGAAAAGATTTACTGTTTTTGTATTCAACAGAGAGAGCTATAACCAAGAGAGTTACTGAATATGGTGATATCTAAAACTTGACATCAATAATAAAGTACCTTCCCCTACAATGATTCAGATATTGTCTATTTGGATTTAAGATTTTACAAATATTGATTAATTGAATTCTTATGGTAATCTTGAGATAGAAATATTTTTTCAGTGAAATTTTAACAAGATCTCACAGATAACGATTGTCAAATCCAAAATATGAACCTTAACAAGTGTCCGGAAGTAGCCTTTCCACTCTACTCTTCAACGTGGCAGCTGAAGGTCATTCATAGTACGTTTCACTGAAACTAAGTAAGTCACTTAGGAGGTCCAGTCTGTCCTTATTGGGGAGGAATGGATACTTACTAAAAAATAATTGCTATGCTTCTTGGTCCCGTATTAAATCCCTTGTTGAAGTACTCCAGAAAAAGCTGATAATTGACTCAGTTAACTTAGACATAAATAATACCTGAACAATTAGAGAATATAATCTCTCAGCTTCATTTTATTGCTGTTAAATTATAATTTTAAACAAAATAATATTAGATATTATTCTATATATGTTTTCGTAATTCCCAAAAGAAATCTCTAAAGTACTGCTGTTGTTGTTAGTTGCCATTCATTTGTCTCCAATTCTTTGTGACCTTATGTATAACAGAACAAAATGTACTATTACTATTGTGACAGAAAATAGAACACATTCAGAAAGCTCAGTAACTTTCCCTAACCAATTAATCCACAGGGTAAAACTACAAAAACTCGAGCCCATATTTTTCGAGCTTAAATTACTAAGCTACTTCTTCCATGTATTTTCTATTTAGTTGAAAATTTTAAAGTTTGCTATTCAGAATCCTAAGCATCCAAAGAATGTGCGCATTAAATAAACGCATATATTTGAAAGTTACAGCTATTGCATTAAGCAGCAAATCAGGTGTATCTTAAACCTATACTTGTTGTTGTTGTTGTTAAGTGCCGTCGAGTCGTTTCCGACTCATGGCGACCCCATGCACAGCAGAACGAAACACTGCCCGATCCCGTGCCAGCCCCACAATCCCTGCTATACTTGAGCCCATCATCGCAGCCACCGTATCAATCCATCTCCTTGAAGGCCTCCCCCTCTTTCGTCGACCCTCAACCCTACCAAGCATGACATCCTTCTCCAGGGAATGGTCCCTTCTTACAACATGACCAAAATAGGTGAGACAAAGTCTGGCCATTCTTGCTTCCAAGGAGCATTCTGGCTGCACTTCCTCCAGGACAGATCTGGTAGTTCTTTTAGCAGTCCATGGTACTTTCAGCATTCTCTGCCAGCACCACAACTCAAAAGCATCAACTCTTATTCGGTCTTCCTTATTCATTGTCCAGCTCTCACATGCATACCAGGTGATTGGAAATATCATGACTTGTGTCAGGCGCACCTTAGTCTTCAAGGAGATATCCTTGCTCCTCAGCACTTGAAACAGTTCCCTCGCAGTTGACTTTCCCAATGCTACACGTGGTCTAATGTCCTGACTGCTGCTTCCGTTGGCATCGATTGTAGAACCAAGCAACGTGAATTCCTTGACAACCTCAATCTTCTCTCCATTGATTGTGATGCTGCTCATTGGTCCAGTTGTGAGGATTTTTGTTTTCTTTATGTTGAGATGTAATCCATACTGCAGACTGTATTCTTCAACCTTCATCAGTAGGTGCCTTAAGTCATCCTCACTTTCAGCAAGCAAAGTTATATCGTCTGCATATCTCAGGTTGTTAATGATTCTTCCTCCAATCCTGATACCACGTTTTTCTTCATATAGTCCAGCTTCTCGGATTATTTGCTCAGCATATAGACTGAATAAGTGTGGAGACAGAATACAACCCTGATGCACTCCCTTCTTGTTTTAAACCATGCAGTGTCCCCTTGTTCTGTTCGAACAACAGCCTCCTGGTCAAGGTACAGATTCCTCATGAGTACAATCAAGTGCTCAGGGATTCCCATTCTTCTCAATGTTGTCCATAATTTGTCATGATCCACACAATCAAATGCCTTTGCATAGTCAATAAAATACAAGTAAACATCTTTCTGGTATTCCCTTCCTTGAGCCAAGATCCATCTGACAACAGCTATGATATCCCTTGTTCCATGTCCTCTTCTGAATCTGGCTTGAACCTCTGGAAGTTCTCTGTCAATAGACTGCTGCAAACGTTTCTGAATTATCTTCAGTAAGATCTTACTTGCATGTGATATTAATGATATTGTTCTATAATTTCTACATTCTGTGGGATCACCTTTCTTTGGAATGGGCACAAATATGGATCTCTTCCAGTCAGTTGGCCAGGTAGCTGTCCTCCAAATCTCTTGGCATAACTGAGTGAGTGCCTCCAATGGGGCATCTGTTTGTTGAAATATCTCAGTTGGTATGCCATCAATTCCCGGAGCCTTGTTCTTCGCCAGTTCTTTCATTGCAGCTTTGACTTCTTCCTTCATTACCATTGGTTCTAGATCATATGCCACTTCCTGAAATGGATGAAGATCGATCAGTTCTTTTTGGTACAGTGACTCTGTGTATTCCTGCCATCTTCTCTTGATGTTTCCTGCATCATTCAATATTTTGCCCATAGAATCTCTCAATATCTCTGAAAAAGGAATTTTTATCTATAATACCCAGAAATATGATTCAATTTTATTAATATTCCAATTTCTTCTAAGTCTTGCCCTGATTTGTGTCCTTCAAGGCATGTTTTCTGCCTGGAAATTGCTCTAATCTCCACAGGAAGATAATCCTGCCTTAGTTCTCATCAACCAGAGACATCTTGATTCCATTTTCTGAATGACAGTTTCCTTGAAGGACCTTCTATCTTAATGGAGGCAGATGTTTCACTGGAATAATCCTGGAAGTAAGACAGACTGGAATTCTGTGTTATGAACAATTTCAAAATCTTTTGGCTTATAGTGTCTTGTTCAGCACTACACTTTTCAAGTGTATTCTGCTGGAGACTTATCTCAGGTGCCACACTAAATAGATATTGTTTCCTGCCACAAGTGGTGTTTGCCCCCTTCAGCACATAAGAACTCATACCTCATGTCTACTGAGTCAAACTGTTGTTTAACAAGATCCCTGCAATTAAGCATGCACATCCTTGTAGAGCTATTAGTTAACTCCTGCCCTATTCTTGAATGATTATTAGTGAACAACTGCTTCCTTTTTCTTTCCCTGGATAGAAAGTTCATAAAGACTCCTTAGATGTTCATGGAAAATGGAGTACCGTGACCCATATTGATAGCCAAACAACAATGTATCCTTTTGTTGGCTCTCTCTCTTTCTCTATTGACTAACCCTCTTCCTGAAACTTTCCCTTTATAATAGCCTTCTGAAGTAAACATCCTGAACACAAGACTTTGACTTAGGCTCTGTGTTCAAGGTTCAAATTTTTATATTTTGAAACTATGTTGTCTCGAGCAGATTACTTAACATTTTTGAAAATGCCCCGTACAGTGGACAGTAGGAAGAATTTAGCATTGAATATCAAAACATCTAGCTTGAGATCTCAAAGGAAACCTCATCCACTCTTACATCCAGAGACACACCTAAATAAAGGGGATGGGATAATGGGCATGTCCAGACATTTTCCTCTGCATTTATGGAATAATATGATTTTGAAACATTTAACTCATATCCCACCTGTTTCCACAAATGTTCGTAAGGATAAACCATCTTATACCTAAGATTTTTTGCATCAGTTATGCCATTTCTTTTGTTTTGCCTCAGGAAGTTCATTCATAGTATGTTCAGTGAAACTAAGACATTTTTATGTGTGAATTGTTTATAATCAATGATGAAATGATTGGAGTAAAAAAAAATGTACAAAAAAAAGTGTGTGAGGTGTTGTTCCTCATAGGAATACTGAATGAGAACTTTTTCATGTTAAGAAGTAAGGATTGGAAAACTTACAAAGTTACGATTGCCTGTCAGGAGGTTTAGCTAGGAAAACTGTTTAATTGGGTTATTAGGCTACCAAAAGGTGATGAAACTCATATTTGATGTTTGCTTCAAGCAGCTGAATTGTAATAGTGTACAATATAGGTACACTAAGGAGCTCTAGTGGCACAGCGGTTAAGGCATTGAACTGCTAACCCAAAGGTTGGCAGTTTGAACTTACCAGCCACACTGCAGAAGAGAGATTAGGTAGTCTGTATCTGTAAATATTTATAGCCTTAGAAACCCAATGGGGGTTACTGTGGGTAGGAATTAACTTGATGGCAGTGGGTTTCTTGGTATAGGTATATTTACTTATAGTTAGTTTAGACCAAATATAATCAATGAATTTTTGCCCACAGACAATTTAGATTTGGAATACATTTTTGAACTGTTCACTAATATTTGGCATGGAATTATCCGTTGGCCCTCTTCTGCATTTTGACCTTTCTCCACAATTTCCAACTTGCTTACAGGTGCAGCATTTAAACATTAACCTGAACCAAATGCCCACAGATATTTCCAACAGGAGTTTTATTATCCCATATTGAATCCCCTGCATTTCTCCTCCCTCAAAGCATGAGTAATCCCAGTTAGCCTTGCCCTTCTGATTTCCGTATCCATCGGGTTATAGCATAATGTCTTAGGAAATTGCCTTGCCAAATGGTTGCTCTTGCTTCTTTTGAAACAGCCCCTCCAGAATGGGAACAAAAAATCCAAAATACATACTTGTCTATATACGACAGCTTGTTTTGGGAATGCAAAGCTAGTGGAAAGCCAAACCCTTGCTACACATGGTTAAAGAATGGAGAGCACCTCAATCCAGAGGTAAGTAATTATGTTGATATTAAAAATTTACCTACTCTGATAGGTGAATTTTGTTACTAACAATAACCATTAATGTTAATTGAGTGGTTACTATGTACCAGCAAATGTAGCATACTCTGTAGCCATTGATTTATTTAATTTTTAAATAAAATCACAAAGTTGTTATTACTATTACTCTCATCATCTTAAAATGAGAAAACTACAAGTAAAGAGGAAAAAGAACTTGAGCAAGTTTGTGGTAGATCCATGTTCAATTATCATCATCATCATGATCATCAACATCCCAAAACTCGAAACCTAATAACCTGCTGAGAGCCACCACAGGAAATCCATGCCTGTAGAGTGGCTTCTATAAAGGTTACAGCTAACCCAACTCCGGAACTTGTGGAGTCTCCTCAAATGAATACATAAACAAATATTAAAAAAAAAAAAAAAAAAAAGTTGTCATTGAGTCAATTCTTCATAGCAATCATCATCATGGCTATCATTTATTGGACTTTCATAAGAGCCAAGCATTGTGTTAAATATTTTCCCATGCATTAATTACCTTCTTTTATCTTCATGACAACCTTATGAGAAGGATTGTATTATTATTCCTTTATACAGATAAAGAAAATGAGCCATAAAGAGGTTAACTCACTTCTGCAAGGTCATATAGCAGCCAGTAATGGTTAGAACTTGCAGTCTACATTGATCAGAGTCCAGGACCTAAGGTTTCAATCATTACCCAATAATCTATTGCTTGTAGAAACTTATGACTGTCTCTAAACCCAAAGGAAAGTGAAGAATTGAGGAAGTTATTGACATGTTCCAATATAAAGCATACTTTTTCCTTCAGTATCTAAGTAATGAGACAAGCTTTTTTCTCATCAAATTGTACAGATAGTTGTGTAAATACTCCATTTTGTTTTGGACATGTAGGCACAGCCAAAGATACAAAGAACATCTGTTGTAATGCTGCTGTTTGTCTCAGCATTAGTGGTATTTTCCTCCTGCCTGTCTTTTGCCTATAACATTTTCTATTTCCCCAAACCTACTTTTATTAACTTCAGAGGATAGTAATAGGTAGCTTGAAATTTTTAGTTTTAAGTTATATTTGCACTGTTAAGCTGTTTCATTATGGGCACTTCCAATTGTATTTCTATGTCCCAAAAGAGGCAATATAACAGATTCTGGCTACTTAAGCGTAATTTATAATACATGACAGAAAGGAAGGTTTCAGCTCCTTCAACTTGTGATTCAATTTGAGAATGAACCAAATCATCAAATTCCAAATTCTTTTTAGACTTGGGATGGGAAGCCAAGGAAATATTCTAATTATGATAACCAAGTATAATATTATTCAGTCAACTATGTTTTCTGGAAAAATTGGAATGGTGAAGTGTGTGTTCCAAATGATTTTGTGTACCAGATAATAGACAGTTAACATACACACTGTGCAGAGATGCCAATTTTCAAAGAAATCAAGTACCGTAAAGTACACTAAACACTAAAATTATACTAAGCATATTTTCGTTTTTTTTTAAAACTCCAAAAGCTGTTCAGGATCTTGTTGTCTATTAGGCTCATCTTCATAAGTATCAATTTTTATACATAAAAGTATCTCATGTCATAAATATGCACAGATTTTTTAAGTATATTTGTTAAGATAATATAATGGCATTGCTGTAGCTCAAAGGTGACCCTTTTTCCCTATGTTAACATACTAGCACATTTACATGCCTTTTTCTTTCTGTAGGAGAGAATTCAAATAGAAAATGGGACACTTATTATAACAATGTTGAATGTGTCAGATTCTGGTGTCTACCAATGTGCTGCAGAAAACAAGTATCAGACCATTTATGCAAATGCAGAATTGAAAGTATTAGGTAAGTCATTCATTTATAACCAGATAATTCAAAATGTCATTTTGGCAAACTATGCTTATTTACAATCTGAATCCAGTTTCTTATTTTTCGTTTTGCAAATTAGAAGTTAATATCCCCAACATAATTAGAAATATCTATTACAAAATGTTAGTTGTCACCAAGTTGGCTCTGCTTCATGGAGACTTTATGTATGACAGAACAGAATGTTGCCCAGTCCCAGGCCATCTTCATGACTGTTGGTACTCTGGAGTCTTTTCTTTTGGCTATGGTGTCAATCTACCTTGCTGAGAGTTTCCTTCCTTTTTTGTGGGCTCTCTACTTTATCAAACCTGATGTCTTTTTCTAGCAGTCGGTATTTCCTGATGATGTGTCCAAAGTAAATCTTATTATCCTTGCTTCTAAGAAGAATTCAGGCTGTACTTTTAGCCTGATTTTCAAGTGTTAATTCTTATTCTTATTTTGCTTTGGCAATCTGTTAAGGTTTGAGGACGAGCTCACCTTGGGTGCTTCCAAACCAGAGGTGGCACCTTAAGAGCTGATTCTACCATGAGGTTTTCAGTACAAATCAAAAGATACTGGTAGGAATGCTTTCATGTGCAAATAAAAACTTACAAGAAAATAAAACTCTTGTTGTTGTTATTGTATAGCGACCCCTCCTTGGGTTTCCGAGGCAGTATCACTACAGAAGTAGATTGCCCCATCTTCCTTCCAAGGAGTGGCTGGTGGGTTCGAACCACCAGCCTTCTGGTTAGCAGTCAAGTGCCTTAGTCACTATGCAACCAGAGCTCCCAAGAAAACTCTTAATTAAAAACAAAAAAAAACCCTAAGATTTATTTTTTCTTTTAACAAAAGGTTGAGGAGTAGACCAGAAGCTATCTACTGCTGTAGATGGTACTGTTGTTTAGTCATGTTATTCTTTGAACCTTTTCCTCATACTGTATTGTAGCCTCATGGTCACAAGATGTCTGCTGTATATACAGACATCAAGTTTATACTTAAGGCAGAATAAAGATAGTACTGACCACATCTGTATCTCATTAGGAAAAAAAAAATTCTGAGCCCCCAAAGAGAACTTATGTCCCATTGACAAGAACTCGTTTACATAAATATCTATACTTCAAGTGAGGTTAGGGAAATAAGTCCCTATAGTAGCGTAGTGCCTAGGGCACTTGACTGCTAACCAGAAGGCTGGCAGTTCAAACCCACCAGCCACTCCTCGGAAGGAAGATGGGGCAATCTACTTCCGCAGTGATACCGCCTCGGAAACCCAAGGAGGGGTCGCTATGAGTCGGTCCGACTTGATGGCACATAAAAACAACAACAACAAATAGTGGAAGGTGCCTAATAATATTTTGGGAGAGCCAATCAGTGGTTTATGTCACAATAAATGACTCATAGATAATATCTTGCAACATAAGGCTTTCTTATAGGCAAGGGAAAAAAAGGGTGGGGGGGGGAGGAAAGATAAAGCAACCACAGACAAAGTTTTATGATGAATATTCATTGATTTGTTCATTTTTTCACCCATTACTATTTATTGAACTCCTACTATGTATCAAGCGCTAAACATATTATTATCAAGTGTAAAGTGGTTCTTATCTTTATAGAAGCTATAGTTTCACTGAAAAAAAAAATGACAAAATTTAAAATATGGTACTATTATAATAAAGAATTTAGTAGGTGTTATCAGAACGAACAGGAAGTTGAACATATACACCTGGAGCACTCTTTTTAAGCTGAAATCAGAACAACGAGCATACACTATTCAGGTGATCGACAAAGAAAGACTTACTGAAAATCTGGGGAACGAGATATCATGATATATCTGAAAGTACTCCAGTACAATTGTACCTTAGACTGGGAGTGAGTATTTGAGATTGGACAGAGATAAAATGGAAAGACAATGGAGGCATCCCAGGCAATCTGATAATTTCACACAATTTCAAAACTTGATATTTGCTCAACATGTGTTTAGTGCAAAAAAAAGGCGAGTCTGAAAAGTTTTTTTTTAATGATATTTTATTGTATTTTCAATAAAAGTCTATTTATTTATTTTAATTTCTACTCCAAGCCTGTTCAGTTCTGCAGAAGCCAGGCTGTTAGCATGTTACTAGCTAAAGTATTACATGAAGAAATCTAACTTAGTGACACAGCATTTCTGAATTATTCCAGTGGCATTTCATTGCCCTTGATATATATTTGTATTTAAGATCACCATTTTGGCTAGAATAGAGTAAAAGATTTCCCAAACTGGTATCAAAATTCACTCTTTTTTTTCCCCCCTTCTATGGAGCCATCTCCTTCACTCTTTTTGTTGTAAATGCCATTAAGGATGTGACTTTTTCTAATTTGCTCTTCAAGGGACATTTTGCTTTCTTTACTACATTGATAACCCCTAAAATTATATGAATAAAATTACTTTTATTAAGCACGTATCTTATGCCAGACATATCTCATTTAATCCTCATGCTAACATTCTGGGTAATGTCTATTGTCATCGTCATTTTACAAATGGAATCAAAGGCTCCAGAATGTTAAGTTTGTAATTAGTTCCAAAATTCCATGAATAAAATAGCTTAAGAAATAATCCTGGATAAAACATTAGATTCTATATTGAATAAAATGTTACCTCTTGGTCACTAAGTGTTAATTACGTGAGTAATTTGAAAATTTTGTTTTTAATTTTGCTTTTAGCTTCAGCTCCCAATTTCTTCAGAAATCCTATTAAGAAAATATCAGTTGTTCAAGTTGGTGGAGATATCGCTATCGAATGCAAGCCCAGTGCTTTTCCCAGGGCAACGATTTCCTGGAAAAGAGAAACAGAGAGCTTGAGACAAAGTCAAAGGTAACTCAGTATTCATATTATTAAAAATATTTTGAACTATTACATAATACAATATTTTCCAAAATTTTAGAGTTTGTCACATCTTCCAAAATTTTCTTCCTTATGGTAATCTTTTAACTGCATATCAAAAGATGCCAAAATGTTTCCTAATGATAATAAACATAAAAGGAAAGAGCTAAGGATAAAGCTAAAGGAGAAAGCTAAGACCTTCATACGGAATTTGGCTGTAGTGTCATCAATTCATGCAACTGTAATAGATATGTTTATTTTAAAAAAAAATCCTTTTTCTATATTCACCTTGAAGCCTTTTTCCCAACCTGGCCTGCTGAGAAATCAGTTAGAAGAACATTACACAATGGAGAAACATTCACATGCACACACCTGGTGGTGTAGTTTTTAAATAGTTACACAGGTGTTCACCCCATGACAAAATGAATTCAC